ACACACACACACACACACACACACACACACACACACACACACACACAGATATGGAGAGAGGAAGGGAGGGAGGGAGAGAGATCAGCTTATCTAGTGGCTTAGTGATACGGTTGATTTAAATTCTGCCATGTAACATATTTTAACTCCATCAGTGGGTGTGTGAGTGTCCTCAGCTTATCCCACATCTGGTCCATAGCAGATGGAGAAGGGTGTCAGTGCTGTTGCCAGGAGATGAAAGTTGAGTCTCCCACAGTGCAGTAATGATAGTCTTGGAAATCATGGCCCCTGTCTGGATTCTGTTGAGCTCTTCCAGCTGTGTGCACACCTGTTCTTTCCTCTGGCTCTCCCTGCACTTTGTCTCCAGGCAGCACAGCCTCCTCCACTCCCTCCCCTAACACTGGAACCCCTTTCTCTGCTCCCTCCCCAACTCAAGAACCCCTTTCTCTGTTCTCTCCCCCAGTGCTGGAACCCCTTTCTCTGCTCCTTCCCCCATCTCTGGAACCCCCTTTTCTGCTCCCTCCCCAACTCTAGAACACCTTTCTCAACCACAGCTGCACTGGGGGCTCCGTGCCTGTTAGTCTTGTGACTGCTTTTTAGTTATAATCTTCTCACTATTATTTATAAAGGCTTTTGTGAAGACAACAGGTCCCTTTGTCTAGGAGATGGCTCCACTGCTTTTCCAAAGGCCTGGAGTTCGGTTTCCAGCACCCATATCAGGTGGCACACAAGTGCCTGTGATGCCAGCCCCAGGGGCTCTGAGGTCCTCTTCTTCTTCCCCTTGGCACCTTCATACATGTGTGAATATGTGTACACACAAACACAAGCACACACACAACCTAAAGAAAGGATATAAAAATGGACTGAGTGCAGGTAATTACAAGAATTCTGAAAGAGAATACAAAGCTAACTATTTCTAGTTTTAATTCTGCCATTGATTCTTGTTTATTTGTTTCAGTGGTGGATAAGTGAATAAAATATATTTGATACTGAATATAAAATTTAATGTGAAGCTTCATAATTTCTATTCCGAATGCCTGTTCTAACTGTTCATTGAATTGTATATTTGTATCTGGATATTTTGATATTTGATTGTTTATTACTTATTTTCAAGTGTTTGTAATTAAGTTTAGAAAAATAAAAAGTAAACCAAAGCAACACACACACATTGCACACACACACACACATGCACACACACACACACACACACACACACACACACACACACACACATCAAAGTGATTTTAAAACAAGGCTGGAGCACTTGCAGGATTCAATTCCCAGCACCCACATGGCTGCTCCCAACCATCTGTAATTCTCGTTCCTGGGGACCTGCTGCCCTCTTGTGGACTCCAAAAACACTGCATGCATGTGATACATAAGTGCCCACGCAGGCAAAACAAACAGGTAAAATAAGATCAAGTACAAAAGATTAAAGATAAATCAATGGGAGGGCGTCTCGGGGTGGGAGAAGAGATGCCGCCTCCCAGAAATGTGCTGCAGGTGTGTTACAGCGTTAGCATGCAGTGGTGCCATTCCATTTGCCAGTTTGGTGGAGGAGATGCCTGAGTTGCCCACTATATGGCCTGTTGGAGAGATAGCCATCTGCCAGCCTCATGCCCACAGTTTGAAGCCTCCTGGCTCCTGTAGGACACTGACCGGTGTCTCTGCTCCATGCTTTATGCTCAGGTGAAATACAAGGAAGATTACGAACGGTCCAGGGGGAAACTCGTGGGAGCACAGAGCGCCCAGGGGGATTCACAGATAAGCCACTCGCTGCAGATGTCAAAGCTACAGAGTGAGCTGCAGTACAAGAAGGGCTTTGAAGACTCCAAGTCTCGCTGCCACGTCCCGCTGGACATGCTCCACCTCGCCCATGCTCGCCAGGCACAGCGCTTAGCCACAGATGTAGGCTATAGGACGCCATCACACTGCTTCACGGCCCTGCCCACGGACATGAAGGTGGAGTGGGCCAAGAAGGTCTATGGCCTGCAGAGTGAGGTAAGCTCAGAGCCTCTGTGAGCGCAAACACGTGTGTGAGTGTGTGAGTGTGTGAGTGTGTGAGTGTGTGTGTGTGTGTGTGTGTGTGTGTGTGTGTGCCTGTGTCAGTTCTGTTTGCTTGTTTTTGAAATCTTTGTTTCATCAGACCCTTTGGGGCAACAACTCGGGCTCTTGGGGTGCGCATTTCTGAATCGCTCAGTGAAAACACGCGTACTTTCTCCTGGCTAACACTGCTCATCCCATGCTGGCGTGAAGTCATGTGCCCACAGCCGGCTTGACAGAGCTACTCTCCGCAGTTCTGACTGACATGTTTTAGGCTTTTTTCCGCTGCTGTCGTTGAATGCATTGGTGTCCTATGATCAACCAGGAGAGGGTCACGGACGCCTCGTTACAGCTTCAGTGGGCCCATTTTCTGAATGGCCAGTTTGTTGATCAGCAGCCCTCTGCTTCCTTCCTGTAGCTATCAGTTGGTTCTGCTCTCTTTCTGTAAATGATTCATTCTTGGAAAAGAATATGTGTGAATGGGTCAGCTATCGCCAGGCTGTTACACACAGGTGTTTATATTTGTGTGTATGTGTGTGTGAGAGAGAAACAGAGCCAAAGAGACAGAGACAGACAGACACATATACATAGACACACACCGAGAGAGAGAGAAAGCATTCCTTTATTCCTTCCTGGCAGGGCTTTTTCAGGATACATAGATGATAGACTAGCTTTAAAGAAAATTGTCCATCTAAATACTTTTCATTGAAACTATTCATTCAGTAGCTAGTGAGGAAATGAGAACTCTCCTCCCGTGGCCCGCAGAGATGGAGGAAAGAGTTGGCCCGTGAAAGTCCCTCCAGGAGCTCCTACTCGGGCTGTGTCGTGAGCCACCATTGCTGTCTCTACCACATGTCATTTTTAGCAAGAATCCTGGTACAGCCGACAGGGAGGCCACTCTTTGTCCAGAGGGAAGGCGTGAGTGCCCACTGAGGGCCCCGCTGACTCAGTACCTTCTATGTACCCCAAGTAGCATTGCACAGAGCCTAAAGCCACCATCTACAAGTAAACCTCTGATTACAGGGGAGATTGTTTTATATATTCAGGGGCCTTACCCATGATGCCGCAGAAACAGGTAAGATGAAATGGCGTTTCATTTGGCTCAGCTGGCGCCGAGGGCGCTTTGGGAACTGTTATCAGCCCTTCGACGGCTGTGCTGTGACAGAGGCCTGCCCCCCTCCCCCTGTGTCCTCTTTGTCAGAACCAATACAGGGCGGACATGAAGTGGATGAAAGGCGCAGGCTGGGTTGCCACCGGGTCATTAAATGTGGAACAGGCGAAGAAGGCCGGAGAACTCATTAGTGAGGTGAGCTTCCCCAACAGTGCGCATGATGGGCTGGCCTGCGTCAGCTGTGCGGTGTTCCTGAATAAAATTAAAATAATTTCCACTCAAAAGGCAAAGCCACATGAAAGGCCTCCAACCCTGGATGGGGCTGGTAATTAGAGAGAAGCCACATACCAAACCCACACCAGTAGGGGCCCAAAGTGTCCCGGCAAAAACAAAGTGGGCGACAAGTGATATTATGTCTAATAATGACAACCAAACGAAGTGCAATTGCTTCCCACCCCTGACCTCTTTAATGAAGCGGCCCAGGAGAGATGATGAAAAGATATGTCTGCAGCACCCAGGAAGCCTTGATATGGCTTGTCGCCCAGCTCTTCCTTGTCGCCACAGGGGAAACAGTCTGTGAATATTCACAGTCTGTCCAGCACAGTGACATGACTGTTTCTTTCTTGGGGGTTGGGGGGACAGACAGGTCCCTTCTGCTGTATGTAAGTCTCACTTTTGCCAGAGTCCAGCCACCTTCACTGACGGAAGGCTGCTCTGCTTCTGAGAGAGCCATTCACCTCTGTCTGTGGGCAGTCCCACTGGGCAGCAGTTTTACAGACTGCATGTTCAGCCTCAGTGCTGCCGACATATTGCTGTTTCCTTCCGGCTGCTGCTGTACTTAGGACATGGTCAAGGGCATCTCTGGCCTCTAGATGTCAGAAGCACTCTGCCCAGGGGTGGCAACCGGAAAGGTTGCAGATGTTGGCGAGTGCCCTCTAGGGGACAGGGCTGCTGCTGCACACAGCACCTCTGAGTGCTGAGGCCTGAAGCTCCAGCTCCTTAGAGCCTGGCACCATCAAACTCTGCAAGCTCCCCCTCTGCCTGCCTGTCGGGAAGGCTGTGTGCAGAAGGCAAGTGAGCATTTCATTGCCTGTGGAGTAGACCGGTCTTGCTGGAACCTTGTGGACAGAGAGGAACCCTCAGGTTGCCTAGCCCTTGAAGACTTGAGTTTGGGCATGGGGCTCTTGAGATGTTGTTTAAAGAGAGCTTTTTATTGACTGTAGTCAGTGTTGAATGGCAGACATGTTGGTTTTGTAACTGCTCAGTATTATAGTCTCCTGTGGGGTTGCACCCTAGCCTCCTTAGGCATTAGAGGAAACTGCTACACTTGCCCTGTTCTCACTGACCGAATTTCCAGAGACTTACTCAACACTAAGACTCAGAGAACCCTGGGACCTCAGTGGTGTCAATGTCACCCTGAGCCATTGAATTTAATTAGGTAAAGGACCCCTCAGGATCATAAGCCTGCAAAACTGTGGGAAAAAACAATTATGCTCGAGGATTAATTACCCCAAACTTTTAGCATCAGGCCCTCTCGTAAAGGAAGAGCTTCACTCCCGACCCGCTCAAGTTCAATTTGGACTTCCCAGATAGCTTGTTTATGTGTCTACTCTGGCAGGAGGAATTTTGAGGGGAATCATTTGCCTTATAGTGATATAATTTTGTCGCATCGCTTTCTTCATTTTGCAGACTTCCTCAAGAAATTTGCTTATTTCTTTTAACATCTTTCCTTCAGACCAATTTTCAAACTTTACATTAGGCGAGATATATTTTAACAGTTTCTCCCAATTATCTGATGCTTCTAAGTTCCTGTCGAATTGGCCTGATTAACTTTCAAAGAAAATACCAGACACTGTGGAGAGTCACAAATGAATATGGACACACTCACACACATGTTCACACAAATACACATGTATGTATGAATTCACAGATACATGCAAGCACATGTATACATGCATTCCCATGCACACGCACACTTGTACAAATGCTTTCACATACATATACATGTACATGCATTCACACATGCACACATACATGTGCACATTCACCCATGTACACATTCGTCCACATATATGCATACATTCACACATGTACACATATACAGGTATGTAGTCATTCACACATATGTGAAATGAATTCATACACGCACACACATGTATACATGCTTTCACCCACATATACACACATATGTATACATGCATTCACACATAAACACACACACACACACACACACACACACACACACACACACTGCTGTGGTCTGGGGCAGGGGTCATTAAAATGATTCTGTTTAGCCCTAGGGAGTAAATACTTAAGACAGTCTAGTACAATATGCACAAATTCAAGCAGATGAATGAACAGGTGTTCAGAAAATAACACGATTTTAGGAGAAATATACTCCATTATACCATTAAAATTATAACATTTCAGGCTCTCAAAATGTGCTTTGATTAAAAGAAAGGGGAGGGAACTCACGGTGTCCAGAGTTCTTCAAAATGAGTTATTTAAACCTTTGCCAGATTTTACTTTTTTTTGGTTGCTTTTTGTTTTGTCTCACATGTAGTATATATTTCCTGTCTTTCAAATGCTGTAACAGCCCTTTCAGTGATGGTAATGGTATCCTTTTCCTTGTTGCACTATCTTCGAGAATTACCACATCTGCTAAATGAGCCATAGTCTGAAGTGAATCCACCCTGCATGGTAAGCACAGGCTCTGGCTGTGATAATGCCTGCCAAGTCCTTCGGGAGAAGCAGAACAGAACGCTTCAATCGATAAATGCAACTAGGAATTCACTTTCTTGCCAAACTAAGATATGTAAACAACTGCGACAGTATTTGAAGCCTGTAGAAAGAATGACTTTGCAAGTGTGTGCCCTACAGTATTTTACTGGTGTAACCTAATTTTCAGATGTTGTCTTTGCACTGGGTAGAAATACTTTAATGTTAATTGACATGAGGTTATTCTTAAATTGAAACAAATATTAACCTGAAGGAACCTGGGATATAAAGATGGAGGAAGCCGAATAATAATTATGTTCACAAATTCACTCTAATCTCAAGCAACCTGTGATTTTCTCTTTCAAATGGCATGAAAGAGCAGCACAAAATTCACAGCTTTGATCTTTTCCTGCTCAACAGAAGAAGTACCGTCAGCACCCAGATGCTTTGAAGTTTACCAGTATTAAAGACACTCCGGAGATGGTCCAGGCCAGGATCAGTTATACCCGAGCAGTGGATGGAAGTGATAATGTACATACATTATGACTCTAAGAGTGGCTCTCTTTCGCGCTGTGATTGAAGCAGAGGGGATCTTGGGCCTGCTCCTCTGTCGTGAGGATGAAGGGACCCTTGTCTTTTATGGAGCTCCCCGTGGTGGGGCCTTCCTCATTAGAATGCAAATGGGGCGTTCCTGTACTCAGTGTGCCAAGTGGGGCTCCGCACCCCACCGCCCCTGGATGCTCTCCTTCCTTGAATTTGCATAGCTTGCAGGTTTGTGGCCACAAGGCCCCTTCCCCCTTCTTTTGTTCAAAAACAAAAAAAGGTTGTTTTCAGAGCTAGAACTTGGAGTAAAATTCTGGCTAATTGGAACTCGGAAGCCGTGCTTGGGGCTCTTTGGGATCTGAGGGCAGGGACTGATACTGGGTTCTCATTTCCTAAGGCTTTTAAAGATGGGTTTGAGTCTGATCTGTGGATGTCAGCCTGACTTTTAAGCCATTTACCATATTCTGTATATTACAGGAAACCGAGATTTGACCTGATGCTCAGTTCACTAGAGACTAAATAGAACACTGAGGTCTTATAAAAACTCCTGTAAGCACAGGAATTAGCTGGTTGCTGCTACTGAGTGAAGTCCACAGACCCATGTGTAAGGCACACTTGCCTTTGAAATATTTTAAAATATTCAACTTCTGACATACAAAAATATTTACAAACCCTGGGATCCAGCTGTCAAAATTCTCTGTATGGCTTTATAAGAAATCCTGCTTGTATATTTTTCTACAGGCACCCCAAAGGGCCTGGGCACTCTTCAGGCTATGAGATAGCATGGTTCCCAGGCTTTTGGACTTAGGAACTGATTTCTTGCTTACCTGCTCATCAGATCAGATTGAATTTTGAGAAATAAAGTTGGACAAGAATTTCTTGAGGAAGAAAAACCTCGCTGTGTCCTTATCCTAACCAACTCTAGGGGGCAGTGCTGTGATGTAGAACCTTGAACATGGCCGCTAGACATTGGGATGGAAAACCATGATTCTGAAACTTTCTCAGGTGGCTGTGCCAACTCTGCATGTTATCAAGCAAGCCAGTGGGCTGCCAGAAGCTCACTGGGAGTCCTGGGCAGAGAAAACCTGGGCTTACTCAGAGGATATTTAGTAGGCCAGGAATTCTAGTGGTGGGGATGGGAAGAAGAGAGGTGGGCTTCTGAACCCTCCCGCACAGTGTCACTGCTGGTGTGCCCTCGGGGTCCCTAGGCCCTGCTGCACAGCCAGCACTGGTCTCGGCACGGCTTAGGAGAGTATCACTGGTGGTGGGGAGGCAGGGCTGAGAAGACAGTATGTGATATCACTGTGCCATCCTTGGGAGGTCCGTGATCAGCTCTCTGCAGTGACGTAGCAGCTACAGGCCCTCTGCTTCCTGGAGTGCAGCATAGCTGCTGGCTGCGTGGGGAAGAATCTGGGTTCAATGTGAAGAGCTCTCTCTCCCCACAGAGACTGTATAAGCAGCAAGCAGAGAAGATAAAGCACCAGTACACGCAGACAGTGGACTTGCCGGAAGTCCTGCTGGCCAAGCTAAACTCCATGAACATCAGCGAGGTGAAGCTGCCTGGGGGTTCTGGGTTCAGAGACAGGAGGGCAGGGGTGCGCCATATGCTTGCGTGGTGCCCTGTGCTGTCACCGTGTTGGGGTTTATGATTGTTGGGACTGAGGGGATCCACCCTTGAGTTTGCATTGGGCACTGTAAGCGATTTAGTGTCGTGGACAAATTACAAGCCCACTGGGGATAATGGGACAGGAAAAGGCTCTGCCTTAGTATCAAGGCCTTCGTATAAAGGAGCTGGAATCTAGAAGCATCTTAAGAAAGCTGGATGTAGTAGGTGGCTCTGCCAAGGACATACTTGGGGCCTTAAGTTCTCTCTGTGGTTTCTAAAGGAGCCCTTCTCCCACCATTCCTGGTCCTTGGTAGAGGCATTTGGCCCCTCTCTGTCTTGTATAATGAGCTATACACAGTCTTACATCTTATGGATCCTTCTGAGCTTGCTGCTCAGTTAGCTCTAGCCATGTCTGTCAGAGCCAAAGCCCTTGCTTTTAGCCGGTCCCCTCTATGGCTTCACTGGCCAACGCTGGGTGGGAGGTGAGCATTCCTTCTAGGATATAATCCATTCTAGGCCACAGTGATTTCTAATCCCACATGGGGCTGTGGGTGGGAGAGAGGCCCAATGTAGGCCAGATTCCTTTGGGGGAGAAGCAGAATTCAGGAGACCAATAGATCTGTGCCTTCCTCCCCGCCAGAGTCGCTATAAGGAGTCATGGAGCCGCCTTCGAGAGGGTGGATACAAGCTAAGGTTGGATGCCCTTCCGTTCCAGGCAGCAAAGACGTCCAATGAAATTATCAGTGACGTGAGCATCCAATCCTGTGGAAACATTCAACCCAAACCTTTTCAGTTCTTTTACCTCTAACTCTTGCCTTCTTTCGCCTGTGGATATAATATCCTCTCTTGTCCAAACTGACTGTGTCAGGGCAATCAGATAATGACCACTGAGAAAGAGTGCATCTCACACACAAAAAATTCCCTCGCCTGGGGCACAAAGCCAGATGCTGGACTGTAAACACAGAACCTGGGCAGATGAAATGCACCCTCCACCACGAGCTTTCATAAAGCCAGCCTGCTAACAATGCCTGCGCCTTCTCCCAGCCCGGGGCCGCCCAAGTGCTAACGCGGCTGCCATTTCAAACGGGAGCCCTTTAGTCATTGGGAGTCTTGCATATGAAAGAATAGACTTTTTGACGACTCCTGAGCCTTTTCTTTTAACTCACCCAGTTACTGTCAAAAGAACAAAACATTTTCGCCCAATACCCACCTCTTCCATTTTGTGTCCCTTGTCCCCGAGCTGTTACTCTCTCCCGCTCTCTCTCCCTTTAGTACAAATACAAAGAAGCATTTGAGAGAATGAAAGGGCAGATGCTTGGCTCCCGGAGCTTGGAAGATGACCTCAGCCTTGCACATTCAGTACACGCGACCTTGCTGCAGAGTGATGTAAGAGGGAGAAGATGCGGGGGGTTGTGGCCCCCTGACGATGCTCCTGGCACAGCCAGCCCAGGCTGCCCAGCCTCCTGGAAGTGGGTGCTGTGTAGAGTTAGAAAATCCCCTCAGGGGTAAATGAGCTTGCATTTGTGGCCCCCCAGCTCCCTTTGGGCTGGGCCTTCTTTGATTGGTGGTCTGTGGGCTGTTTGGCCTGCAGAGACACTTCTTTGAGGTCTATAGAGTGAATTACTACAAATGTTTAGAAATGGAAAAAGATTTGGATGACAGTTTTAGATTGCTTGTTAGACCTTAGACTGGATTCCTGGAGGCTATAGTCAGGTGAAGTTGCTCACTAATAGTTCTGTGTAGATGGGGTATGTACTTGCCCCACTACACACACAGACAGACACACACGTACAAACATGCACACACGCGCGCGTACACACACACACACACCACTTTATTCTTGTTTGTGCTCACGTAAATGTAGGCACCTGATTTGCTAGCACCCTCCGACAATTAAATTGATCCTGTGGACTCTGGAACACATGTATATATACAACCTCCTTGCACGTGTGTGGACTCTGGAAGATGTGTGTACATGCAACCTCCTTGAACATGTGTGAGGGCAAGTGTCAGGGTGAAAGGCGTGCTCAACATGTTACAGAAGTCTAACCTGTGTATTGTCTCCTTTAACTGTCAAACTGTCTCTCAAGGATCTCCACTTTGTATTCATTCTGGCTTATTGATGAGGAGGTCAAGACTGATTGGCTCAGTCCCCTGCTCAGAGTCAGCTACAAATCGGCAGTACATGCTCTCTCTCTCTCTCCCCCCTCCCTCCCTTCCTCCCTTCCTCCTTCTTTCCCTCTCTTTTCCCCTCCTTCCTCCCTCCCTCTCTCCCTCCTTCTCTTTCCCTCCCTCCCTCTTTCCCTCCCTTTCCCCCTCCCTCCCTTCCTCCCTCCCTCCCTTTCCTGCCCCACAGTTTTATATGTTCTCTGCCATTTTTCTCTGTTCCACTTTTCCTGTTTCTACCCCTGCTTTCTGTTTTGGGTTGCTGACCTCTGAGAGTGGAATTAGATGGGAGTTGACCTTGGCCTTGTTCTAAGGGTGAGGGCCTGATTAGTGATGTGTGAGTGAGAAATCTGAGCCAAGTGGTTGTATTGAAGTGTCTGAGGGCAACTGGCAAAAGGTAGTGACTACACATCCTGTTTCTGAGGAGGTTCTAGGCTTTATGCAGTTCCTGCTAGGCTGCTGGGGCTGGTGAGTCTGGAATTGGCGTGTCCCTCATTTTTCAGGCTGTATGTCAGGCCTGGGGGATAAATATCTATGTGTTTTCCCGGAGTAAGGGAGCCATGGCCTCTGTACTCAGGCCAGTGAGTACAGGGACCCAGGGCTGCCAAGTCAGGAGCCGGGCTCAGCGAGCTTCTTAGGCCAGTGTCCGCCAGGAGGAAGTATGGACCTGCATCTGTACCTGGGATTGACAGGCTCCTGCATCATAGTCGCTCTCCCGATGGTCCTCTGCAAACAGTAGCTTTGAAATAGTGGCTGTTGATCTGTTTGCCCCTCTAGGTGAATTATAAGAAAGGCTTTGAACACTCAAAGGCTCACTTCCATCTGCCGCTGGATATGGTAACCTTGGTGCATGCCAAGAAGGCCCAGACTCTGGCCAGCGACCAGGACTACAGACATCCGCTCCCCCAACACACATCCTTGGCAGAAGACCTGAGGCTGAGCTGTGCCAAGAAAGCTCACAAGTTACAGAGTGAGGTAAGGAGCCTGGGCCTGTCCTTTAGGGTCCTTCTGCTGGCAGCTGTGGTCCCAAGTCAGTGACTGTTAAGCTCTGTTAGCTCTGTGAAGCCTCTGGAAGCCAGAAATCCTAAACTCTTCTTTGGGAACCTAGCCCCATGCTGTCCTAACACACAATTATAGCGCTCCAGTGAGGACAGCCACTGTTCCTGGAGTGTTTCTACAGAATTCAAAGCACTGTAAATTGGAAATTGCCTCATTGGGTAGCAAACCTTCTGCTGGTTTATGGGGAGGTAGGGCAGGCAGTCCGGCCCATGAGATGCCTCCCAGGCTCATCTGGGTCCTTGTGAACCATCTTCATTCCTCTGGTGGCACATCCAGCTCCTGATGTCTGTTCTGCAAGGCAAGGAGGCCAGGGGAGTCAGGCAGTCTCATGTTCCTGAGGAAATGAGGCCTGTCCTTCCCAAGCATCGCTGGTCCGCACTTCCTCCCCAGCCTGCTAGGTCTGCCTGTCCCTGGTGTGTGCAGGCAGCCAGCCCTGTGGAGGAAGGGGACCTCTGGCCCAGCAGGCTGTGGGAGTCAGGCCGTCCGTGCAGGTCTGCATCTATCATCTCTTGGAACATCACGGCCGTGGACAGCAGTCACTGAGTGACAGGAACTGTCAGGAACCTGAGCACAGCTGTAGGGATGAGGGAACTGCCACATTCATCAGGCCATTTGCCGCTTAGGTGGAGCCCAGGTGCCTACCCTGCCTGGTGCTGTGGTGACAATCGGAAGGCCGCACACCCGGGGGTGCTTTGCTGGCTGAGGGGAGGGAATCTGGGGACCCTTTAAACTGTCACTCCAAAGCACTCAGGTAAACACGCGTTCTCTTACCCACACAGGTGCGGACCTGAGTGAGTCCCTGCCAAGTTCTTTCCGATTTATTCATCAGTTCTTTCTTAACACATGATTAATTAATACCAGCCGCTGCTGCTGGCTTTTGTTTGAAAGATCGGTTAAAGCATTTGTACATTTGCCCCAGGACACCTGACATTCTAGCCACAATCCTCTCCAGCATTTGTGTTTTGGTAGCCCACATTAAAACAAAACTCCATCCTGTCAGAGCTGCTCACAGAAAAGTGACAGCCCAATGATTTGCGTGTGACCCCGGTTTTCCCCTGACAAGCCGTTACTGACAACTGTGAGCACTGATGTTGAGTGGGACCCCACCTGTACCCGCCCAGGGCCGCAGCCTTGCGCACGTGTGCTGAGACCCGGCTTCTCCTGCTCCTTAGTTTGGAGTCTGGCTTCTCTGACGTTTGCACGCTCCTCCTCGTAGACGCTGTACCGTTCCGACTTGAACTTCATGCGCGGTGTCCCCTGTGTCGTTCCTGGAGCGTTGGAGATTGAAGGAAGAAAGAATGCATCCAAGCTCATCAGTGAGGTAGCACGGACTTGGAGGCAGACGGTGGATGGCAGAATGGGGTGTCCATGGCAGAATGGGGTGTCCACAGAGGAATGGGGTATCTATGGAGGAATGGGGTGTCCATGGCAGAATGGGGTGTCCATGGCAGAATGGGGTGTCCATGGCAGAATGGGGTGTCCACAGAGGAATGGGGTATGTATGGAGGAATGGGGTGTTCATGGCAGAATGGGGTATCCACAGAGGAATGGGGTATCCATGGCAGAATGGGGTGTCTGTGGCAGAATGGGGTGTCCACAGAGGAAT